TGTGTGGGTAACCCAAATTGAATTTTATGTTTCTATTTGCCACCCCCAGGAGGAGCACAGGGATCATAAGCGAAGAGCAAAATATGCAAGCAAATTAAGTTCTTAAGCATGAATTCTATCTTGCTTTAAAAATGGAACAAAAAGAGACACAGAGGCTTTTCTTTGTATATACGTGTAAGGTTTGAACAAACATTGATTAGATAGCTTTTGCATCCAGCAGGGATTCTTGCATGCTTGTTGACAAACATTCCAGATGTTGTGGGAGTTCTTTAACCTTTTAAACCCATACTAATCTGTAATTATTTTGGGAGAGGATCAGCAGTCAAGGAGAAGAACGTACTCTGAGTATTTTTTTGCTGCAGATGACAGTGAATGACCCACAGTCTTAAAGACCTGAAGGAATCATTAGATAGATTTGCATTTAGCCTTGATCCAGAAACCATTATGAAGGAAATGCAAAGCTTTACAATAGCCCTATTAAGACATTTTATTAATGCATCTGTTCATTATCACTAGCCCTCATGCAGAGTCCTTACACAGTGGAATTTAAATTTCTTGATGTTATATTTGGTTTAAATGGTCATAAGGATAACCTTCATCTCCCTCAGGGCACACTATTGCATAGGTGTGGAGAACATAATTAAACAACAGTACAGTGGGAGAAACCCCCGGGTATTGTGTTCTGCCAGATGCATGAGAGCTATTACACCTTTGTTCCTACTGCAGTCTGCACAGCTTTCTGCTGCTTGTCCTTTAAGGTTTTGTTTAATGAAAAATAAACAGTTTGAGGAGGCAATTTTCCACCAGTGATGCAGGAAGCATATTTTTCTTCAGAATGCACAGGGTACTCAACACAGAGGGGTCCTGCTCAATAAATAAGGCTTTTCTGGCATGACTGCAAGAGAAATTGCTGTTAGGTATTGTTTATTTAACAATTTATGCATAGTTACACATGTAAACCACAGTAAGGGAGAACTGAGAGAGAAAATAACTGCAGGGTGCACTGGTGAGAGCTGCAGTCAGCCAGTGCCATTTCTGAGCTGAACCTCCAAAACCATGAGAGCTTTCCCAAAGTCCCAGCAACAAGCACCAGTTATCAAGGAATTGCCAGTGGGACTGAAACTGCTGAAGGTTCAGCATGAGTCAGGCCCTGAACCACAGGTTTTGACAAGGGACTGCTCTAATATCCTCTGTTAGCTTCATGCAAAAATCAAATCCCAGGGACCTCCTGCATCTCTCCTGCCTGTCTGCAGCTTGAGAGGGAATTGGCATTGACTTTAATGAGGATACATTGCTCTGAGATGTCTCTTAGACATCACTGTTTTGCACTCTCATTTGTTTTTTCAGTTCAAGCCAGACCAGCCTGCAACCTAAAAGCTCCCATAAAAACATTGCCTCCCACTAATATGTGTGAAAATTTAAATAAATGAAAAATCTAGGCATTTCTGTGCTTAAATGAAGAGATGGTTTACTGCCTCCCTGCAAATACAGAAAAACCTACAATGAGGCAAGGCCAATATAAATTGAGATAGCTTAAAGGCAATTATTGAAATTCTATGAAATATTGCATATTCTTAGCCTAAACACAAAATATTTTGTGTAAATACAGGACCAGTTATCAAGATCACAAACACAAAAATGAAAAAAATATGGATTTTAGTAGAGGCAACTCCAAAGGGCCAATTGCAGGGAAAATCCTTACTGTGTTTACATGTTATTTGAAAACAATCCAATTATCAGGATGCTGCAACTGTGAACAGTTTCCTTCACAGCATATAAACAGCTACAACTATTTCCCCAATCCAGTCCCAAACATCATTAATAGCAGTAATTTCAATGACTGCAGAATACAGCAAATACCAAGATATTATGGCTGGACTCTTCAGCAGATAAAGAAGCAAAATAACTAGCACACCCAATATCTAACCTCCAGGCATGTATGATTGCTCTGAAAAGGTTTACCTCTATTCAAGTAAACTTTTACTCAATGTAAAAGTTTACCTGAATAGAACATGCAGCACTTTGAATCAAGAGGAAAAAAAGGTACGTTTAAATATTGGCTACAATAATAATTTCCAAAAAAACCCTTTCAATAAATATTTTTCATGACAATTAGTTAGGATGTCAATGGATGCTTCAAAGAATTTGGCCAAAATTGCTGGGTTCATTACCTCTATTTTTCCTGTTATATTCAAGCAAAGTACAGCAGTGGTGCACTGAAGCTTTCCCCTGACTGCATAGTGCATGGCATTCTGCTTTTCAACAGCAGAATGGTGTAGCAGCACAAATTGGCTTGAAATATTATGAAATAGCATCATTACTTGTGTATGAAATCTCAAAACCACCACACTATGACTTTAATTTTAATTGGCTTTTTCATGAAGCCAGCAGCTAAACCTCCCCACTGATAGAAATTCATTCAATTATTTCTAGGCAGTTCCTAACTCCTCAGCCAGCAATGTGCTCGGTGATAACACAGTCACTGACTTTCCCTTACACTGTGGGGAACAGGATATGTATAGATACATCTAGAGGATCATCTGTAGTTATGTTCCTCTGACCTAAGGAAGCTCCCTTGGTTTCCCAGAAGCTGAAAAGCAGATTTCATAAGGAAATCACAAATACGTTTGTCTGTACAAGCCTCCTTTCAAGACTCCTGAACCCACTCCAAGTATCATTCTCCTCTTCAGTTCCTGACAGTGCCATTACTGTAGTCTGATTTGGTCAAATTGTTATACCAGCTCTGCTTGTGCAAACAGAGACTCAAAACAGTGTGTTAAGTACAGCATCATATGTTCCTTTTTTTTAATCCCATCTATTTTTCTCATGCACATTTCACAGCATTTTTAACATATTTCTTTTTTTTTTCTTTCCTATTTTGACAGTAAGTTCTTTGTTATTTAATGATGAACATCAGCATTTTGCTACAAATATTTTGGTTTTATTCGGATAAATTCACTACCTTTGGTGTCTAAGCTTTAAACAAAATAAGCAGATCCTTTTGTAGTTATGAATGGTACTGATGTAATTAAAACAAAAGAATATATGTAAAAGTAAATATCTTCGAACATTTCCTGTCTCAACTATCATTAGCCAAAGACAGCATTCATTCATGACTGAAAATGGAGAATCAATAGGACATTTAACACCTGGACACTGCTTTTTCAGTATTGTCTAGCTTCAATTAAAACAAAAAAACTCAAAGAAAAAAAAAAAAACAAAACAGCAAAACCAGTACGAGTAAAATGTGATGGGAAGATTTTCATGAGATCTGAATTTTTCTTTTTTTTTGACCTGTGCTCAAACTAAAAAGCCACATGTTTCTTTTCTTGTTTTAATCTCCATGGATCAGTCCAGGGCCATGCAGGATGCAGTGCTAACCTGAAAAAGTTCAGTAACTATCACTAGATCTCTCCACCATTCTGCCTAGACAAATCTCCTCTTCTTTCTTATCTTTCTACTCCTGAACAGGCACACTGATTCTATGGAATGCTTTTGCATCAGAGTATGATTGCATCAAATCAGTATTTAGGGAATCCAAACATACAACCAGCTGCAGTGTCTCTCCCAAGCAATTTAGCAAGGTTTCATTCTGTTCACAACCTGTCTTCAGAAATTATGACATCTATTTTATAGAACTGAGGAAGAGAGGCACTTTGCAGATAAGTGGAATTTATTCAAAATGCTTCCAAGTTACACATCACTTTATGGATGCCCTTTAGACTCAGGCACATCTCTATGTTTTAGCAATTATTCATCATTTACATGTTCACAATTTAGAAGAGTTTTAAAATCAAAATGCATTAGAAGCCTACACTGCCTCAAATGGTCAAACAAGTCTTGATAGCACTTCACACTTAAGAGACTCTAAATAAATTAAATAATGACTAGGGAAGCATGAACCTCTCCTGGTGTGTCTGTGAACACAGGGAAAAGTAGCAATAGTCTCCCAAATCTAGGATATAAGACAAAAACCTGTCTCACAGCCACAAAATATCCTGTTACCATAGTGATGGGGACCGAGCAAATGACTAAAAATACCTGGTCTTAGTCACACTGTCTTAGGAATGTGACCTAAGCAACACGTGATCGATGATTTTCCTTGAGGAATTGATGGCACTTACAAGGAGCTAACACTGGAAAGCAAGTCCCATATGTAAGACACTCAAAGAGACCACCCTCTCAAAGATGCAGCTTGGAAAGAAAGCTCTGTGGGACAAGGCATGCAAAAAAATTATGATCAAGAGAAGCCACACATAGGTCGTTAATTAGTCAAAAGCATCAATTACATGTGGGTTTCCCTCATTAAATAAAGTTGGACTTTAAAAGCATTCTTTGTAGCTGCTAACACATAAAATTAACCATAACCTCCAAAGAAGAACACTGTCCACAAGAATCCCTCAATTGTGACTGTCAAAGTTAGGACAGCTCATGTTCAAGCTAGCTTTGGTTCACAACACCCACACATGTCAGTACAACCACAGAGGGGGCTAATAAAGTGTGCTGCAGGAGAAGCTGCCAGTGGCATCTCCCACATCCTGTTTTATTTACAAACAGCCATCTAAGAATGTTTTCATCTCTGAATGCTTCTAAAAGTTTCCTGCACTTTCAAAGGTGTTGGAAGGCAAACACCACAAACACTGCTGAGTGTACGAAGGGGTTAATGTTTGCCTGGAGGCATCTGCAAGTGCAGACCTGACAAAATTGTTCTGCACCCTCTAAAGGATATTTAAAATAGTATGGGATTATATACCATCATTCTTAGACACAGTGGAATTCTGAAAATACATATTTTATTTCAAGCATAACATAAAATGCTCAGTTTTGAAAAAGATCTTCAATATTAGGTAAGGTTTATCCTGACTATATTTCTAAGAGGAAGTAATTTCTTATTCATGCAAGAAAAAGGAAAAAAAAACAACAACCAAAAAGCCCAAAACTTGCAGCACCTGCAGGTGAAATTTTGTACCATTGTAAAGAGTTTACAAGAAGCTACTTACCTGAACAGGCCAGCTGGAGGACATAGTGAATTCCAATGGGAAGTACTGAGTACCCACAGTATCTCAAAACTTCAGACAGATCATTTCTGACTATCTTTTCGTCAAATTCTCCCTAGGAAAATACAATTCCACAAACTGAAAATGAAAAGTTTTTGTCAGATGTATCTTTACGATAATGTATTAGGTACTGGAGGAGTTTTTTAGAAATATTTTTCTCATTTCTAGAAACACTTCTTCAAAACCAAGTTAACATGCTTGAAACGCTTTGTATGAAGATATGGAGCTGTGCAGAGGCTACATGATGGGGTACTTATCTTCTGACTTATTCCTGCACTCAAGGGAAAGTTGTGCATCATTCTTGCTGATGAAAGGAGAGCAGCTGTGCTGAAACACATCTCTTTCCCATATTAGAACCTCTCAATATGAAGAAGTGATGGTCAGCAGAACTGGTAGAAAGAGGTTGAAGTAAGTGAAAAATTATTGTGGTTAATGCTGGTTTTTTACTTGGCAGATACACTCAGCCTAAATCAGTATGTGAAACCTCTCCCCCTACAGTAAAAGGCAAGAGGAAATCTCAGAGTGGAAGAAATTTTCCCCAGTATTACTGTAATGGAAATGCCCATCGATGTCTTGCCACAAATACTTAACAAAAAACCAAGGAGAACTCATAGTAGTAGGCTGTCAGCAATATTCTTGAGAAATTTAATATGTTCATAATATAGCTTCAGTCAAGGAGGCTAACTCAGAGATAGGTGTTGTATGATCTATTTTGTGCTACTCAGAAAAAGTAAAAAATAAAAATTAAAAAAGCTTCACAGTCTCCTATACCTTCATGTCCACAAAACATTTCAGGCAATCTACTTCTAACTCACAGATTTTTGCAGATTTGGTGAGATTCTGCAAAACTTTTTTCCCTGAGAAGCAGAGGTCATGAGTCTAGCTGATGAACTATTGATTAACAAAACTGTCAGACTTTGTGTAAGGGTTAACATCCCTAGATCATGTTACACTCCATGTTGTGCATGAGCATCTATAACATGTTTCTTTCTATCTTCAAACCAGAGAAAATTATTAATGTCACTATAACATTTCCAAAAAACAGCATCTGCCTTCTAAGGCAGAGTTCGTACTCTAATCTTTGAAGACCATGACGAAAAGACAGTGGAAAAAAAAATAGACATTACATTGGCCTGCAACATCTTATTGAACAGGTATATTTTCATTTCTCTGAAATGTCTTTTTAAAGAAAATTTTAAAAAACTTCTCTAACTCTTAGGTGTGAAAAAATGTTTACCTAAGTCCAGCTTGCAATATTGTGTTTCGATGTATAGTTGAATAGTCACCAATTCTCTTTCTCTCACTTTTTTCCCATGAGGGAAGCTGTTTTCTAGGATACACTTGACTAATCTTGCTCATATTCTGTGATGAGATGGCCACCTGTTATTCTGGAAGAGGAATTTGAAGGGCAATGGATGAGACAGAAAGGAAGTTTAGATTAAACTTTGCAGTCTAAACTTTTTTATTTTCCGTAGCATCGTCATATAATCCTTGAGGTGATAAGGTCTACACAAACAAAAATATTGAGAAGAATGCAGGTGGGAGTAAGCAGAGCACTTGGAGCTAAAGAACAGGCAGGTTTGGTATCATTCAACTATTTCCTCTTCTTTTAACACTTCTCTGCTTATGTATCAGGAGAAGCAGCCCATGTCTCTACTTATATATATTTCTATTCTATCAAATACATGATTTTTTTCTTATTTTTTTTTAGCAATTGAGATGTAAAACAAAGTGGGAGAAGAGTGCAATGAACATTCTGTTAGTTGCAGGCTGTTTCTGTACCTGGAAAGCTGCAAGCCCCAGCACTGACAGCACAATGTGCAGGCACACCATGACTGTCTGGAGGCAGAGGGATCAAGCGTTGCACGGGGCACTCTCCTCTAAAAACTGATACAGAGCCTTCTGGAGATAAAAAGATGGGAATGGGCACCAGCACAGCACTCAGCCTCACTGAATTCTCCCTAACCTTGAAGGTGCAGAACAATCACAACAGTTGGACAAGATAAGCATGGGGGTTTTCAATAGCGAAATAACAGTAATGAAGAATTCTGACATTACTAAAATATAAGTGCTGAATGAGTTAAACAACGAAATAATACCATAACCTTTACTGCTTTGAATGTGTTCAAACCCCTTCTGATGTATCTTTGAGTGCAAACAACAGCTTTAAGTACTTCTCCATTGCCAGGGTGCTTTCTACTATTTCTAGAAGCTGCAAAGACTTCCAACTGAGTTACATTTTTCTTGTGAGTTTGAAGGTCAAGGTGTTTGCCACTAGATGTTAAAGGACAGAAGATTCATTTTTTCAGTTTGGTGGACTATGAAAAAAAATTCTAGAAGGCCAATTGTAATGTGCACCTAAAATAATTACAGAATCACATAGAATCCTCTTATTTACATGAATAGCTTGAAAAGATGGAAAAAGAACTTTTGGTCATTTACTATTTACAATTACAGAATTAGCATCCAAATCTTCTTGCCAAGTGTTCTGCTGCAATGGGGTAGATCTGCACAATGCCCATGGCTTTGCAAACTATAAGGATTAAGTTATTTTCAAGATTTTTAACATTTTAAATTCTTATTTTACTGTACAGCTTTGGTCTTGTCTTAGAGGTTTTTTATAAAATAGGAAGTCAGATTTTTGTGTGCAAATACAATGTAATTTGAGTAAGACTAAAGAAATATTTTACCTGCCAGCTCTTACAATTGAACTGATAATACAAGCTATAGCTGAAAGATATTGAAAGCTTTAAGTGCCTCTTCCATATGAATGCAAACTTTCATGGATTTTATTAATGTGTATTCATTAAACTTGCCAGGAAATTTTACACACACACTCAAAAAAAAAAAAAAAAAAAAAAGAAAAAAGAAAGATTTTAGTAGACAAGAGAAATATATTGAAACCAATCCTTTTCATAAGAACACAGCAGGAAATTCTGTATTGGAGATTTTCCTGTCAAAACAAGATAACAGAAATACTAGAAAAGTGAGGATATTCAATATCCTGGAATATATGTGTATTTGCTACAGTAAAATTGCTAAAAGTAATTTTAGAACTCTGAAAGCTCTCAATTTTATCTTGATACAGAATGAGTAGAAAGGAGCTCTTTGCAGTTTCATCTCCAAAGTCCTCCTATGTGATTACCTTACTATGCCCCAGCTGAGGAAACTATCACAATAAATATGATAAATAACAAAAAAGTTGAATTTTGCATTTCAAGCAGTGTAACTGGCAGAAATGTAAACCAAACCAGAGCTGAAAATTTTTCCATTTAGGTTTTCTTTTTGTCCTGAATATACAATTCTGAATAGAAATAGTCATTTTATGCTTAAGTTCATGAGTATCTGTGTGCATAAAGTCACTTGTAATTTTATTTTATACATTCAGATTGTGCCAAGACTAAACCAATCTGCTTGAAATAGCTTTGAATTAAGAGGAAAATGGGGTTTTATGCCTGGTCTTCATTGAGCAAGGTGCCAGTAAGATAAAATTATTGAGAAGTGGAGGTCTGGGTATTTCTCAAAATGTTGTCTTGTGGTAGTTTTGTTTGTTTGTTTGTTTGTTTAGGTTATAATAGATTGAGTTTTTTTAAATGAAAATTACTTAGATGATGAATTTCATCTGAAACTGATTATTTTCTGGCATTCTGTAGTACTTTCTCTGTGCAACCAAAAGCCTGCAGGATTTCTCATCAGACCATTTTCTTATAATTAAAAAAATACCATTTGCACTTATTTATCACTCCCCTCCATGTCACAAAGACAAATCTGTTCCATCAATCTTGATCTCTCTACTGGCTAAAAAATCTTCCAGGTATTCCATATAACCTGACAATATGGCACCACAATCACATCCTTCACTCAAAATCTGACAGTGCCCCTAACCTTTCTCACTGAGCAAGGAGCTGAACCCCCTACCAGCTTCATTCAGCTCCATATCTGCAGAGACTGGGAATTTACCCCAGAGAGTCTATCAGAGAAGAAGGACATTTTAATTTGTCAGTAGGGTTTCCAGGAGATTGCAGTTTCCTGGGTTGCACAGGGAATGCCCCAGTGGATACCACAGGGGATCACCACAGCTCTTTCCAGAACTGCCTATGAAGTCCAGGTGATGCATATCTGCTCATCTGCAGGAGAATGTGCCAAGCATGTGAATATTCAAGGGCTACATCTCTGGACTGATCAAACCCACGGTTTTCAAAGACCAAGAAACAACATTATATTAGATGGACAAGAATGGAAAAACCTGACTTATTATCTGTACCGATATATAGAGTATACGCAGCATTTCAAAAGATTATTTTTTGTCAAATTTTGAGGAAAATTTTTTCCAAGGCATTTATCTGTGTTGGGAGGGCAGGGCCCATTGTGCTGTCTTGACAGAAGATTGAAATGTTGTATTAAAATTGCTTGTATATTTATTTCAGATTCTGCTTAAAGTTTGACTCTTCAAACAAAATCCTCAAATAATGGGTAATTGAGGAAGAGCTAGATTGTTTAAGGAAGGCAGGGTACTTGGACAGAGGGAGAGAAAGTCTTCTGAAAATCAGCAAGCTTAATTATTTCCTTTATTTAATGAAAATGTGTTTCAGAGCAGTTCTGATTAGATTACCATTACATTCTTTTGTAGATCCATGATTTAAAAAAAATTATGTGAAAGATATGGACAAGTGGCTGTTTGAGAGATCAAGTGTACAATCAAACCCTCACTTAGGTACAGCAGCTGTCTGCACTACAGATGTCTTTGTAAAATCAAATTCATGCTGCAGATCTGATGGGAATGCATTGAATGGCTCTTCCTACTGAATTATACATGGGGCAATTTTTTTTTATAACATCACAATTTAATTTTGTGCAATTTACATATTCTGATTAATAGTGCAGTGAAAAGATATATTTAATATGCTCTGGCACTGCTGTATAAATAATGTCTGATATCAATATTTTGTGCTGTTCTTTAAGATTCATTAATTTTAAGGTTGTAGTCAAGTTACACTACTCTTTTTTTTATATGCCACAAAAAATGTATTCTACACCACCTTTTAACATAATTTCTCTCCATTACACTATCTCTAATGAGAACTTTTACACAAAAATATGTTGTTTTTAATGGAACAAGATAGCAAAACAGAGGGAAAAAGTGCTCTTTATTTAATAAGTGTTTAGAATATACTAAAGCAGAACAAATACCAAGCAGGATGGTTGAAAAGGAATTTCTATCAATTTATCTGCATTGATGTATATTCCATCACTTACAAATTTCAGTTCAGATAATGCTACTAATTAGTTTTGGCTGATATTGGAGTATTTTGTATGCCCCATTTATAAAAGCTGTTTGCCCATCTGTTAATAGGTTGGAAGTGATTAAAGGACACTTATTTTGGCTGTTGCAAAGGCCAAATAATTTTAAAGCTGCAAATATGTGACAAAATCAGCTAAAGGTTTGCCAAGTTCAGGACCTGATTTTCTTAAAGCATTGTGGTGTCTGCTTCCTTTCCCTCCTGCCTAAAGTGCCTCTGAGTTTTCAGTATTTAAAAGCAAAAATTCATTCTACTGTGGCAGGCTACACCTTCTATCTATCTGTTTAAACTGAGGTTTTAATGAACTTTGAATGTTTTTCAGATCTCTAGCTTTTCTGATGATTGTCTACTAGCTTTGAACCATTGCTTCTGAGAGTTTAATTAAAATGGGGCTTGCAAGAGTGCTCATTATCACTGTATTTTAATATCTGCACATACTCTTCCTGTCTATTGTTTCATCAATGTGCAAAAAAGAAGGAGGAAGTCAGAGGAAAAAGAAGACAAAGAATAGGATAAATCGTTTGTTTGACAAGGATAGTCATGAACAGTGAGCTGGGAATCAACAGAAAATCAAAACCTCTAATCACAGAAGATTTAAGTGTGTTTTGAACTTTGTTGGAGGAGTGCTTGTGTTGGGTCCAGCCTCAGCTTCGAGTTTGCCTGGCCACGTCATTATTGAGAGATAATTATAAACTTCAGTTCCATCCAGCAAAGAGTCACCAGCTTAACTTCAATGAAGGTAAAAATCCAGCTTGTACACAGATCTAGAATAATTCCCAGATAGCATTTACATCCTATGGCCCACCTGAAGGCAAGGGTAACATTTAAATTATACTCTTTTTTCTACATATATTTAACTTAATGCTTTGCAGTATGAGGACAGAAGCTGACCCTTACTCCCAATGAAAAGTAGCAATGGAGTTGTGTAAAGAGCATTTACACAGATATTCTACCCCTGTTTTTTCTGCAAACTCCTGAATACTTTTTTCTTGACTGGGTTTGAATGTAATACCAAAGGGAAAAGTCCAATAACTAACTCTAGACTTATTCTCTTTATCTGCAAATTTAATTTTATAAATGAGCAACATAAAGTGCTACCGACATACATTAAAGAAATACCACCTGCTTCGAACTGCTTTAATGGAAAATCTGTCTAGCACTTTCTTTAATGATTATATGTCTTAAAAATTCAACAAATGAAAGGATTATCACCAAAATCATATTAATCTGAAAAGGATTAACAGCCTACTGTTGAAAGACTTCATGAACTGCAGTAGGAGAGGATCTGAAATAAAAATGCAAAGAGCTTTTCTCATAAATAGTGCAGAAAGACTGTTAGAGGTTGAAGCAGCAAAAGTGAAAATGGACTGTAATGAAGAATGGGGATGTGAATCAAACACATCAGCGGTGAAAATAAAAGAAAATCACAGAAAACATTCTGTAAGCTCTAACATCCTTAACACCTGTATATGCATTTTCATTTGCAGGTTTCTGTGACTGGCTGCACTCCCATTATCATTTGTAATTTTGGACAAATTTAGATACATTATTTAAATGTCTTGTTTAAAGAATGAAAATTTTATTGAGCATTCTGAACTTAATGAAACGCTGAGAATGAAGCCTTGGCTTCCTGTGGATACAGATCTTTTGAGGGTTAGAAAGACCTCCCACAGTCTGCAAAATACTTTATCTTCAACAATACACAGTTTAGCTTCTACAATTTCAACATACAAAAAGAATGTTTTATTTTTCTGTAAGATCTTCCCTGCCTGTAGGACATTAATGGAATCGTGGCCAGGCATTTCTTGTTATTTAATGGCCAACAGAGTTCATTTCATCAAACCTCATTCAGTAGTTATCCATATTCATGAAGACACTTAAGGATGTGTTTGATTTTAGCTTTAGTAGGATTTAAGGATATGTTTAAAGTTAGGCACATACTTAAAATGCTATGCTGAATTTGGATGGAGGCAATCTCATGCTTACCTGAGCTAAAGTTAAAATTAAGCGGATGCTTAAGTATTTTGCTGAATACAGATGGAGTGCAGAACTGCATCCCAGTGATTACTCATAAGTGTCAGTATGTTCTCAATCCAGAAATTATCACTTTACAAATAAAATCTGAAGATATGCATATACATAATCAATGTATGGCTGAGTAGAATTTTGATGACCAGCTAATTATAATTCATGCAGACATAAATTAATAAGGGGATGAACACTGCTCAAACTCAAACATACATCCCAAATTATTCACTTGGGTTGCATACAGAAGATAAAAATAGAACAGTAAAACAAAATGGAAGCATAAGGACAAGCCATAATGACAAGCACAGCAAGAGCTTTTGCTTCCAAGTGAAGACACCAATCTAAACCTCAGTGGGACCAGTTCAGTTCGCCTCAGGGCCTTATACTAAAACTTGCCTGGTTTCCAAAGGCTGGAATTACGTTAAGGGAACATTAATATGAACATCAAACTCACAAAAACCATAATCACAATTTGAGGTTTTACAGCTTAATGACATTGAGAATCTAAGGGTTCTATTTGGAAATAATCTAAATATATGACTGTGACCAGCTTATGTTTCCTAATTCCTCTGTCAGTTTTCAATATTAATTACCAAAATAAAACCACTGAAAAATAAGTTTGAAAACAACTAATTCAGTTTCATCTGTACCTCATATTCCTCCTTTCTGAATTAGCATTTGATGCAGAACTTTACTTTCAGTTGGCTTGGAAGACTACTGTAGTCTGGAAAGACAGAAAAAATACCTTGTGAATTAGATATGTAAAATCTTAGACAGCTCATGACTGAGATATATTTCAAGAACTCTACATATATTTTAAAAGGTTCCAAACTTAGACAGGAGTAAAAAAATTCAGAGAAATAAATTGACCTAATCAGCAACTACAGATGCTGGGGATGAATAGAACAATAATTTGCCTTAAACTTCTGTGCACAGGTTCAAAAAAGGAAAATATTGCTTTCCCATTTCCATCTTCTCAATGACTACTCTCTGTCTTGCTACCCAATAATTATAACATATCAGGGTGTTTGGCTTTTGCTGTGATGTATTTTTGATTTAGCTACCTCTTGCGAAGGATACATCACCTATTGGAAAAAAAAGGGGAAAAAAATCTCAACAAAATAATCCAGTATATAATTGAAGCATCTCCTTGCCATTTTAATTCCTGTGTTCCCAAAGCACAGCTCTAAACAAAGCATTTTAAAAATGGATATCTTATATCCTGATCCATTACCTCTGTTGCCATCAATGGATGGTAAAATGATATTTGAGATCTGTTATCATTAAACATTTTCCTACCTGATTATTTCCATCTTATCTAGTCTGTTTTATGACAGAAACTATCCCACACCTCTGGCAATTCCATACACTACTTCCTAGATTTCTTTTCTTTTTTAGGACAGCATGACTGGCACATTGTGTTTTGTCACTAACTTGTGACCGTAGTATGGCCACATCACCTAGAGGGACACAGACACGGTGATGTTTCCTGTTCAGACCTAAATTCTTTTCCTTTCCATACCCAACCACCTACTGTGATTTGTACTCCTTAAGGTTAGCTGTTTCATACAATTAAATGGCCATTTTAGGCTCCTGCTTGTGTGAAAATGTCAAATTCAGGGCTTATTATTCAGGTGTGAATATATAGAGCAGTTGTCTCCACCAAACATTTGCATTACTTTTCAAATTACCAGCATGTTTTGATGAACAAATCTTATTTTAAAAAGTCAGATGTGGTACATGCTAGACTAATGTAGGCAACAGCATTACAACTATGACTAAACCATTCTTTCAGGCATTCCATTTAGCAAGTTTACCCACTGAGTCTGAATTCAAGAGGCTGATTATAATTTTTTTAATCAAAGAATGCAGGTTTTGAAGGCTGCAAAGTCAGTGCCCTGACATGTATTGCAGGTTTCCAGCAGGGAGGTATGAGTTACTCAACTGTTAAACATTTTTCCCATGAAGCCAAGCATGCAATTCAAGCAACTCCTATTGCAAATAGAAGACCTGGCTCTCCACAACCTTGTACATTTTAGGATCATCAGGCACCACTGCTATCTGGAGAGAGAGCTAAAATGCATACAGATGCCCAGGAATAGCCCTATTGAGTACTTCATTTTATAGGTGCATAATTCTTGGGTCATTTATTTAATAAGTTATGTGTCACCACTGAGTAGTCCAGCTCAGCTTAGCTGGCTTTTATATTAGCTAGCTATATATTGGGTTTTGCTTCTGGTTGTAATCTGGGGACTGGGGTCCTGATGTTGCCCCTCCCAGAACCAGAGTGGCTGAAGCCTATCATTTTATCAGCCCCATTCATCTACTTGGATATCCTGTCAGCCATGTAAGATATGTGCTGGAAGATTATCTACATTTTAGTTCATGTGGTCTGAAGCCAAGACAATGACTAGTAAAGTCATATTTAATTTAATATGAAGATGAAGTGACGCTTCTTGTACAATTGAGATGTGACTAGTAATTCAATGAAGTCTGGATGTTAACACCAGCTGTCTGAGGAAAAAAATATGAGAAAAGGGTGGACATGGAGGTGCAGTAGGCAGAGGATCTGCATAAAAACCTCAAGAGCCATTCTCTAAAAATTTCTTTCTGGGCAAAGATCCAGCACTACAGTAAGTGACTTTTGCATGTCTGGGCTTAAATGTATGAATTCAGGAAAAGATAGGCACATGAAGTAACAGAGAGAGTTACTGAGTATTTTAGCAATTCACATGAAATTTCCCAAATGCTATGAAGACATTGTCTGAGGCTTATATCTTCCAACTGTGCATATCAGTATGATTCTGATTATGAGCTGATAATAGAAACTAAAATCCTGCCATGCAAGTGATCAGCATGGGTCAGATCTCTGAGTATCTCTGATATTCATGACTCAAGTTTCAAACACATAAAAATTTTGCTCATGTCAAAAATTATCATTTTGAGATGACAAAACATTGATCAGCAGATTGCCACACATAAGACTTAATACATCTGAGTGAAAATTAATTTTCACCTTGCTTTCTTAAGTATTCTTTCTTTACTTAAATAAAGTACGTTGTACCTTGCTTTCCAAAATTTGACCATATAACTTGATGTCCCCCTTTAAAAATAAGGAAAATCATATCATCAACCCATGAGAAGTGGAAGTTGAGAAATACATGCAAAGGTCCTTTACAACTTGCACTGCCAGGCAATTTGATACTCTGCTCTAGCCAAGGAGTCAAATGGCTTTTTCTTCTCAGAATCTTCCATGTAAAGCAGTGCAGCAAAGCGTGTGTTTAACCCAAAATGTGCTGTTCCCACTTTAGTCCAGGATGAGCCATTTGCCAGTTGGGTTCAGTCTCTTGCCTCCCACTTGCAAAAGGAATTCAGTTGGCTCTAACAGCAGTCTGCATCTGATAAAGTTGCTGAGAGAGACCAGAAACAACAACAAACAAACAAACAAAAAACAAACAAAAACAGCAACAAACCCATTTGGTGAAGACCTTATGCAGTGTATTTCTTCCACAGTCCTCCGTTTGGGCTGGTCTACCACCACACCAGTGTGTAGGGACTCTTCAAACAGCCATTCCTCCCTCTAGATTTCCAGTTTTTATCCCTGGCCCTGCAAAATTCCACAATTCCTTCCCTTTGCTTCCCAAACCATCTTTCAAGTCTCCAGTATGTGGCCCAATTGATTGGATATGCTTTCAAGTGAGGCTACCTCCCCCTTTCAAATTCCCAGCTTAATTATGCTGGAGACAAGGGTGGCCTACAATAAAGACCTTGCTTCCACTTCACAAGCCACCTGTTATCTTCCTCGCCAACCTGCCAACTCCTCTGCTGTTTCCCGGTCCTGCTGCTCGCCAGCCCACTGTGCCATCTGCACAGCAGGAATTCAGAGATAAACTTACCAAGTGTTAGAAGTCTCAGCTTTGTCTCCGAGCCGGTGCTGCTTTGTGAGCAGAATAATTATTCTGGAATAAAAGTAAGTTTCATTTAAGTATAAGGTCTGCATGGAAAACTACTCCAGAACCAGGGATATCAAAATGATTTATTCTATTCTAGCTCTGCTGGTTTGCTTCCTCTTTTCTACAGGGCCCAAGACTACCTTAAATTTTCCTACTCAAACAAGTTGTGTATGGATATAACAATTACATTAATCTACAAAAAGAATTAGAAAATTACTCAAAGTGGAATTTTAAAATTTACAGCTATTTCAGAGAGTAATATTTGAAACATTTCTGCAACTGGGGAGAAGCTGAAATGCTGAAATCTGATTACTCAGAAGACTATTAGAAGGCTTCAGAAGACTTCTTCCCCAAAGGTTATTAAAAACAAAACAAAAAACCCCCAAACCAAACAAAAAGAAAAAGAAAAGCTACCAACCAGAGATCACCACAGCCCAGATACTGGACTGAGTGCTATATGATAAACTGGAAGTGATAATCACTTTTCAACCCAGGAAAAAAGTTCCACTCATCTATTATAGTTAGTGGCACCTTGCCACAGAAACTCAGGACCTTAGGTTCAGTTTTTGGTGCAAGGTGCCACTGGACCATTATTGGTCCCAGCGTTCCATAATGCTTGGCATGGCCTGAATACACAAAGTATAGAACAATTACCATCCCAGAAAATTCACAGTTAAAGCAAAGATCAAGAGAAACAGAGTCACAGAAGATGGATAGACAAAATAATACAAGGAAACTATGAAGAGGATTCAATTCACACAACACAAAGCAGTATACCAGGAGCTTAATGCTTGTTACTTTAGATCAGAGAGTATGGTAAATGTTAACCTTAAGAATTAGCCTAAAGTGCATTAAAGAGGATGGTCTGGACCATAAAAGTGTTTCTCCCAAGCCTACAAGGCAGCGCAGAAAAAAAATCACCTTCAGTTCTATGCTGGAATATTGAAACTGTCATCATTCATCAATGGGAAGAATAGAAGTTGATCATTCTATTGTGAATCAGAGATGATAGAGGGAAAAAATATTTCATATTTTGTTCAATTCAGATTATTGTGATATCTTGTCTAAACTGGCGCATTTGAACTATGCAAGCACTTTGCATGATAAACAGTAGAACTCTTTATCAGCCTTGAATCATGATGCAGAAATGGGTAATTCACAGCTAGCTTTGAAAGGGCTTTTGATTTAAATAATGATGTCCTGTTTTAGGTCAAGTGCAAAATCCTACTAAGTGCAAATCACAAGCAAAGAACACTATCTTATCTCTTAAAACATCACAGATATATTCTATCTCATCCCAAAGTAAAGAAATCAATAATTCAAAATATTGGCATTCTGGCAATGGAACACCTTGCCTACAACATATTCCTCCTCATGTGCCTTTTGGGGAAAGATTTTATGAAGCATATTTTAAAGTTTAACGAACCATTCTCACGTTTTTGTTTTTGCTAATTTTACAGGAAATACATGAAAGTAATTTTGAAACAAGAATGCCCCTTGTGTGCAGATGCAAGCAAAGCTACAGGCATCTTCTGAGCACACTCACTGTTTTATCCAGATTCACAAGTTACATTATCTCAGTTGCCTTTTCTCATTAAATAAAATGCAATCACACATGACTCTGCAAGGTGATTTTCTTTCACGTGAAACATTCAGTAACAAAGATGTCTTTGTGCATGTCATGCTTTCTACTTCCCCACTTCTTGTCTGCATTTTAATCCAGGTTACCTTTTCTTCTTGATAGTTCAGACTTTGTAGCGGCTTTAATGACATAATAATTCCATGATGCGAGCTCAAAGGTGCTGTAACTTACCTACCATAGTGCCTTTCCTACCAGGAACATGGGCGCTGTAAACAGCTGAGCTGGAGTTGAAAATAATTTAAAAAATGTGCACTGGGTTCAGTTGTGAAAACAACATAACTGCAGTGGCAATACAGGCCCATCATCAAATCCTCGTTAGAGCAGGTATTTAACTACACAAATAAAGAGTACTGACATGTCTCTGGACTATGTGTCTTTTACAGACTCACCCATAACTTCACATGGAACTTCAAGATTTTGAAGTTCAGCTTTGGTTTGCTGCAAAACAAAACCAAGAGATTCTACAGCTGTGGAACTGAAATGAATAAAATGCCTTGAATGAATAAGCAAAGAGGTTTCAACCTCACTTTTTCAACACCCTAAACAACAGTGCCCTGCATGCTTGGTTTCCTGAGAGGGTTTGAATTTCTGTTTTTCTCATCTTGTCCCCACAGCAGATACGACCCAAGGCCTGAGAAATTCTTTTTGACAAAAATTTCATTGAAATTTGTTTTGGGGGGAGGGGGAAACATTTCAGCTGTAGAGCTTCAGGATTTGCCTAAAGTCAGCATGTGTTTCTCAGTCATTTGTTCCCTGTTGAGGAAGGGGTGGCTTATATTTGCTAAAAACACTTTTCAATCAGAACAGTAAAGTCAGTGCACCCTGTCCTGATGAAAATGTTTACAGTGCAGCAGGAGACACTCCAACTCCTGAAATTCCATAAACTCATCCTTCTCAGCAACATCTGCCCATGACACTTTCCTCCTTCCATATAAGTAGCATTGCATGCTTATCTCATCCTTAACATCAAGAAAAATTAAAAATCAGGAAACTCTTCTAAGGTCAGGCATTTTGATGCCAGATTAGAAATAACACATTTTAAAGGAATAAAAAAATGGAGTTTTAGTTTTGACTTAATGATCAGAGACCTCTCTAGGCATGAGACAACCTGATTTATCTAGGCTCCCCAGGACTTCCACTGTCAAAGCTAGACAAAGTTAGACATTTACTTTTTGAGAACAAAAAAAATTTAAAGAGGTTTACAATTTTTTCTTGCTAAACTTTTAGTCTTTACAAGATATTTCAAACAGGCTAAAATAAGTTTACAGTTATTTTATTAAATAGTAGGATTTATGCAGCTCGAAGGTCAAATAGAAAACTTTTAGTAGATTAATTACCTCCCCCAGCTGCTTGCTACTTTAAATTGCTCTTAACATTTAATCTAACCTCTAAATAATATAGTTTCTAAACCTTGTGTAGGGAATGTGCAAAGATTTGTTGTTTGTTTCTTTTGTTTTCTGAGCTTTACCTCATTTTAACCATTTGAAATTGAGAATTTGTAATCCCAGCCCTGTCGAATATTTTTCATAAAATGTTTCCCAAAATTGCTCTAAAAGTAGGAAAATACATCATTTATCCAAATTATTTCATATTCTTTATTTGAATAAAGAGTGAATTTTTTTCTGATTCTCTCCCCCCATCCCAGCATAGGGAGTGAGTGAGATGCTGGCTGGGGTTAGACCACAGCACTGAGCCATAGGTGCCTGTTCAAATGTTCTTTTTTAGTACCTCAAGCCAGTACTCTTTTTTGAAGCTTAATTCAGGTAAATTTTGTCAAGACCTTGGACTGTAAACAGGCCACCCTGCTGCTGCCTTGTGCTTTTGGAATGCTGTGACCCAGACTGCACAGTGTTTCTGACACTGCATTGGTTATTTGCGAAGAAGCCCTACAAATTCTTTCTGCAGTGCTATATTACACTTTCTCTTTTCTGTTCACAACATTGATATTTAATAGCACACAAGAGCTCAGCCTTCCACCCAAGCTCAACAAAAATTCTGTCAAATATTCACTAATGTTAAAAGATTAAAAACACTAGGGAAAAATGACCATGTAAAGAATTCTGTGATGAAATGCTTAAGGCTCAGACCATGCTCATCAATTTTCCCACTGTCAGATGCCTTCTGCAACCTCTGCCAGTGTAGGATTTTGCTTCATTGACTGCTGGACTCAACATTCTCTCTAATGTAACATAATCATCATTCCTGCAGGGAACTGATGGAGTCTTATGGCTGCTACCAGGAGAGATGAGCTGACTACTAAGTTACTTTGGACCAAATTACTTCCTAGAATATCTTGGGAAAAAATAAATGAACAAACAAACAAAGAAAGCACACCACAGAAAATTCTGCTCTATATTTCATAGAGCAGTCACACCATACCATTAGGAATCATGGAGATAAATAGTCTTAAGCTTCTACATGTGAGAAAGAACAGGATTTAAAGGTATTTCTGTCTATCACACTTTTTAATTTGTTTGATTAAGCACATTTCTGTTTAGTGGGAGGGATTGTACAACTTCTAACTCTGCCTATGAATGCCTTAGTCAGGGAATCCACTGAAAAAATCACTTTCTTGACTCACTTTTGAAAACCTTGAACATTTCAGACATACTTCAGAATGTTGGTTACTGCCTCTATTGATATTAATCCCTCCTCTAAAATGAGAAATTATATTTGAAAAATATCTGGCGGAATCAGGTAGGAAAGATAAAAGAGTTTCAGTCTACTGATCACAAGTAAATATCTTAATGTAGAGAGATTCAGAGTTCCCAGTATACTGGGCTCTCTGCTCCAATTGCATATTCCCACAGCTTGGAACAAGCCTTTTCACTATACACAACACTGCTTACCTTGCAGCCTGAGAAGTTAATAAATACCAGCAATACCAAAAATAGATTGGTGGGGAAAAAAAAGTTTACAAACCTTTGAAATTCCAGGCTCAGTGAATCAGAATCAAATTTTAAAAATAAGCAAATTCTTTTTTTTTCACCTTTCCAAGTTTTCTGACTCTTATTGGACTTTATCCATTCCAAATTAAGTTCCCTTCTGAACTGCCATTGTTCTCCATTTCTATGTCAGGCCTTTTCATCTAGCTCTTTCCCATAAAGAAGATTTCTGCAGTGTCAGCCAGGTGTGCTTTTAAACTTTTTACAGGCAAAGGCTGTTGCAGGAATCCCACAAAGATACATCTATGTTATCTGATAAATCAGTGAGAAAAGCCAGAGTTTAAACCAAGTTTGTCACAGCTGCCTCTTAACCAGTTATCATTGAACTCCAAAAATAATTCATTGAGGGAAGAGAAGCTGATGAAGATTCACAGCTAGCTAATGGCTTTTTTTTTAAATAGGACATTCATTTTAATCTA